TGAGCCGTTAGCCTCCTACTCTGAGCCGTTAGCATCCTACTCTGAGCAGTAGCATCCTACTCAAAAAGTTATTGAGAAGGCGTTTTTTTTCTATGCATTTATTGTACCTCAAAAATGGATCTATATTTGTTAAAATTACACACTTCAGTACAAATCATTCAGGCACAATGTTTATGACAAGATGGTTAACATTTTTACACATCCTTTATTAAAATGCATAATTTATTAAAAAGCGAATTAGCATTTTATCACATATCCCCTGAACCCTCTTCACTTGAATTTTCTGATTTCAGTTTTTGCAGGTGTATTGGTCCTTTTTTTTTAAATAAACTCCAAATCTCTGTCTTGTCTATGGTCAGGGTCAGGCACTGAAGGAGAGGAGGAGGATGAAGAAGGAGAAGAGTCCAGCAGCCAGAGTGAGGGCGAGGAGGATGAAGAGGAAGAGTCTGTTTCAGGTTCTGGACATTCTGAGCAGAGTGCAGGTAAATCTTGTTATTTTATTTGTTTTTGATTTTCATATAAAATCGGTTAACACAAAGTCTTTTTCTCATTTAGAGGACGTAAGTGAGGAGGAACAGTCAGAGGAAGAAGAGGAGAGGAAAAATGGAAACCACATACCTGCAGGTGAGTGAACTGTATTTTTATGATCTGCTGGATGGATCTATTTTTGTGGAAAAACATACATTGAATTTTAGTGAATATTTTTTCCTGTTAGAAATTTGTACAGACATTGTTTTATTATTACAACATACTTACTATTACTTTAGCTTCTTTTTAGGCACTTCATTTTTTTTTCTTGCATGGAAACTAGAAAAACTAATAGTTCAGTTCAAAATGCATTTTATCTGTCTTTCAGAATAAAGGTCTGGATTTCATAATAAGGGCTTGGAGACAAAAACAAGTTGATCATTTATGTGATGTAGAAAGTTATTTTAAAAATGTAATAAATTTCCTTTATACTGCCTTTTCCTCACAGTACCAGAGTCCCGCTTTGACCACGACTCAGAGGAAAGTGGAGAGGACATGGAGGACGAGGAGGAAGAAGAGGAGGAGGACGAGGAGGATGAGGACGAAGAAGAAGGTGGAGAGGATGAGCCCACCCCACACACTCAAACTCATTCACGGTCCCCCACCCCTGAAGTTAACTACGTCCCAGAGTCCCCCCCAGTTTCACCTGTAGAGCTGAAGAAGGAGCTGCCCAAATATCTGCCGGCTTTACAAGTGAGTGTTAATTCCAATACTCTGCACATGTTACAATCAGAACTTAAACTAAATGTAAACTCTTTATTTTTTGTCATCGAGGAGCATGAAATGATCTTTTTGTGTTCAGGGTTGTCGTAGTGTTGAGGAATTTCAGTGTCTGAACCGAATAGAGGAGGGAACTTACGGAGTCGTGTACAGAGCCAAGGACAAGAAGACTGGTGTGAAACAAAAAAAAAACACTAAAATATATTTATTGTCAAGGTTTTCAAGTGTGCTTACGCATAAACATTCTTCTTTGCGCAGATGAGATTGTTGCTCTGAAAAGGCTGAAAATGGAGAAAGAGAAGGAAGGCTTTCCCATCACCTCTTTAAGAGAAATTAATACAATTCTGAAAGCTCAACATCCAAACATCGTCACAGTGAGGGTGAGAGGACTTGAAACATGTTGTGTTGTTGTCATTTGCGTTGCTTGTTGTGTCACTCTCATATATTTTGACAATGTCAACAGGAAATTGTCGTGGGAAGCAATATGGACAAGATCTACATTGTGATGAATTACGTAGAACATGACCTCAAGAGTCTGATGGAAACCATGAAGCAGCCCTTCCTGCCAGGTATTGTGACTTATTTTTAAATCTCTCTGAAATGTTGTGTTCTAGTTTTATTACATGGTTAAAAGTGAATAATTCTTCAGTGTTTACCAGAAGTTAATGTGCAGCTTTATTGTTTCTTTCAGGGGAAGTGAAGACTCTTATGATTCAGCTCCTCCGAGGTGTCAGACATCTGCATGACAACTGGATACTTCATCGTGATTTGAAGACGTCCAATTTACTGCTGAGCCATAAGGGGATCCTCAAGGTATGCAGTGCTGCCGTTTTCATTCCAGCATCTATTTGTTTGAGTGCAATATAAAAGTTATTTTAAATCATGAGTTATATTTTGATGTTAAAAGCTAATAGTAGGTTTTATAAACTAAAGATCCCCCCTAACTTTTAAGCTGTCAACCTGCAAAATTAAAGTTGCAGGGACTTGAGACCTCTTGTTGATTGAATTATTCAAATATTGGTAACAAGCATTTAACAAAAAATGTCCTCTACCTATTTTTTTCCTTCATTTTTGTTTGTAACAGTTAGAGCTGAATCAAGGCAATCACTTTTCAGGTTAATTTAAAGCTTTATTCTCAGATATACATAATTCACTGTAGATTCGCCACACTAGAGGTTTCACACCCAACGGGTGAGAACTGGGGGAGAAAACGCTACATTTGTAGCAAGCATGCATTTTGCTATGAAACAGACGCACATTTTGGGGGTCATTTTTTTTTGGCACAAGCTAGCACTAAATCAAAGGAGTGAGTTTATTAACAACCTAATAGCAATTAGAAAAGTATGGTTTTATAAAATTATAAACCTCAATCCTGATCCTAAAAACATGGGGTAGAGGCAGGGCAGCCGACCTTTGACCTGAAAGTCCCAGGCTCGATCCCCAGCCATTCCCACATGTGGTGTCTCTGAACACCCGATTTCTCCCCAGGCGCCTACATAGCTGCCCATTACTCCATCTGGGTGTGTCCCAGGTGTGATGGGTTAAATGCAGAGAACCAGTTTTACCATTGTATGGAAACATACAATGATGACAACACATAGCACTTTACTTTATAACCCAAATTAGTAAAGTTGTCTGTCTAAGGAAGGAAGCCAGCAGATGCATTGAGTCTTCATTTCGTCACGGTCTCCCGTCCTGAGCGAGCACAAAGGCAACAGTGGAAAGGAAAAACTCCCTCATAATAGGAAGCAACCTCCAGCAGACCCAGGCTCTGTGTTTTTTATTTTTTGTTTTTGTTTTGTAGCTTCCTATAGTCCACGTGTACTTTCATTATTGTTGGCAAATATAAAGAAAACATGCAATAAAAACAATTACAAGTATGGAATGATTTTTCACTAAACACTCCATGCTATAATAGTATAGTCCATGTTGAACAGCCTAGTAGCTGAGGAGATTAAAAGGCTTTGAGTGCTGATTGGTTCTCATCCAGGGCAGACCTGAAGGCATGACAAATAATTAATTTTTATAGGACGATAATTGTCTTTGTTTTCTTATTCACCTGTTTCTACCAAAGACAGCCCAAGTACCTCTGCTGAACTCGGATAATCTTGGAGCCCACGTTTACTGTTTAGGTTTTTTTTTTCTTCACAGACAAGCCATTAGGCCAGTATATCAAAGAAAGAGTTAAAATATTCAGTAACAGATGGATACAAATACATAAAATATCATCACTGGCATAAAGAGGTAATTTTGTTGCTCTTGTTTGAACTGTCAGTTCTGTGTTGACGTCAAAATGAGAGAGGTAGTAGTCCATAATTTCAACATTCTCATTTTGAAAGATGTTTTCATTTGGTTTATCCTTAGTCTTAGTCTGGACCACAATATTACCATCTGAAAATTGAGACGTTAAACTTTTATTCAGAATAACATTTTGTGGTCTTAGCGATTGTTTTGTTCATTTTTCTGCACTGTAGATTGGTGACTTTGGTTTGGCCCGAGAGTACGGCTCCCCTCTGAAGCCTTACACCCCTGTCGTGGTGACTCTGTGGTACCGATCGCCAGAGCTGCTGCTGGGAGCCAAGGTGAGAATCCAAGTGTGTGCTGCCTTACTCCAACCACAGGACCCAGGTCCGATACCTGGCTGAAACCGCAAACGTTAAGGAGATGAATGACTGTTACATGCAGAGATATATTTTCTTTAATACGACAACATCTGTAACGCATTTGGCCTGTAAGATACCAAACACCACAAGCTGCTATTGGAGTTGTAAAGTGTAGGATTTATGCAACCAGACTGCAAAGGCCCAGCAAACCATCAAAGAACATCCTTTTTCACACATGAGACAAGCTGGAGCAGACCTGTGCCAAACAGACTGTCTTGTTGATGCTGCTGCGGGTTACCGCTGTGTTTTTCCTTCTCTCCACAGGAGTACTCTACAGCTGTGGACATGTGGTCAGTGGGCTGCATATTTGGCGAGCTCCTCACCCAGAAACCTCTTTTCCCTGGAAAATCTGAAATTGACCAAATTAACAAGATTTTCAAGGTGAATGTCGTCATTTGCTCTTAATAAATGACCTGAAGTGTTAACCACTGGTGGTAAATCTTCTGTTTACTGTCTGTAAATGTTATATAGCTTCTGGTAGAGTATTCATTGTGCAGTTCTGCAGTTCGTCTCAGGTTGGAGCCACTGGTGGACTGCTGATGAAGTTATAAAACTAAAATCTTGCAATTATTGTCCATGATGACTTATTAGTGATCATTTAAAAATAGATGGAATACTTCTTTTGAACATATTACACGTATTCTCCATTGGCTTCCTGTCACCTACAGAATTCAGTAGAAAATTGCTCCCATCACCCATCAGTGTTTAAACGGAACTTCACCAGATTATCTGAAGGACCTTCTTGCTCCATATTCATCCACCCGGTCCCTACGATCACAGAGCAGTAATCTCCTCCACCTTCCACAAACTAAATTAAGGACCATGGGAGATCGGGCATTCTGTGTGGCTGCCCCCCACCTCTGGAACTCCCTCCCTGAATATCTGAGAGCTCCACAATCATTGTTGACTTTAAAAAAGGCTTTAAGACTTTTCTTTTTAAGCAAGCCTATAATGCCTCCACATGATTGTAACCCTGATTTTAGTTGATTTTATCTTTGATTTTAGTTGATTTTATCACAGATTTTAGTTGATTTTATCACTGGTTTTAGTTGATTTTATCACAGATCTTAGTTGATTTCATCACTGATTTTAGTTAATTTTTATCATTGATCTTAGTCGATTTTATCACTGATTTTAGTTAATTTTTTATCACTGATTTTAGTTGATTTTATCACTGATTTTAGTTGATTTTATCACTGATTTTAGTTAATTTTTTATCATTGATTTTAGTAGATTTCATCACTGATTTTAGTTGATTTCATCATTGATTTTAGTTGATTTCATAACTGATTTTAGTCGATTTCATCACTGATTTTAGTTGATTTTATCACTGATTTTAGTCGATTTTATCAGATTTTAGTTGGTTTTATCACCATGTTAGTTGATTTTATCACAGATTGTAGTTGATTTTATCATTGATTTTAGTCGATTTTATCACTGATTTTAGTTTATTTTATCAGATTTTAGTCGATTTTATCACTGGTTTTAGTTGATTTTATCACAGATTTTAGTTGTTTATCACAGATTTTAGTTGATTTCATCACTGATTTTAGTTGATTTTATCATTGATTTTAGTTGATTTCATCACTGATTTTAGTAGTTTTCATCACTGATTTTAGTTGATTTTTATCATTGATTTTAGTTGATTTCATAACTGATTTTAGTCGATTTCATCACTGATTTTAGTTGATTTTATCACTGATTTTAGTCGATTTTATCACTGATTTTAGTCGATTTTATCAGATTTTAGTTGGTTTTATCACCGTGTTAGTTGATTTTATCACAGATTGTAGTTGATTTTATCATTGATTTTAGTCGATTTTATCACTGATTTTAGTTTATTTTATCATAGATTTTAGTCGATTTTATCACTGGTTTTAGTTGATTTTATCACATATTTTAGTTGATTTTATCACTGATTTTAGTCGATTTTATCAGATTTTAGTTGATTTTAGTTGATTTTATCATTGATTTTAGTTGATTTTATCACTGATTTTTGTTGATTTCATCACTGATTTTAGTTGATTTGATCATTGATTTTAGTTGCACTCTTTAGCACTTTGAGATTTTTGTTAATGAAAAGTGCGTTACATATTAAATTCATTATTATTATTATTCTTTTATCCTTAATGAGAAATTGTAAAGTTGTAATTTTCGAACAATGTATTTAACTCTGGTGTGTTGACATTTTGTCCTGTCGGTAACTGCTGAAAACATTGCACAAAATATCTTATATCTTTCTCATCTTGCACTAAGTTTTCCATCTGACTCGGTGTGTGTGTGTGTGTTAAATCTAGGATCTGGGATCAGCCAATGAGAAGATCTGGCCTGGCTACAATGAACTGCCTGCTGTGAAGAAGATGACCTTCACAGAGTATCCCTACAACAACCTGCGGAAACGCTTTGGAGCTCTGCTGTCCGACCAAGGATTTGATCTCATGAACAAGTAAGATTTTTAAGCTGTCATGGTGCACAAACACACAAATTAGCCACATTACATACTAACACGGCTCTGCACTTATTAGTGTATTGTGTATATATATATATTTTTTTTCTCTTTAATTTACTCATTGATTGTTGTTGTTGTTAAGCACTTCGTTAACAGGTTCTGTTTTAAATGTGCTCTATAAACAAAGTTGACTTGACTTGCAGGCAGAATAATCTTTTTCAGCTGTTTTGTTTGCGTGCAAAGAGCTTTGCACAAATTACTCCATCATGGAAATACTGCTATGACATGAGAAGTTGTTTGGGACTCGAGTGTGAAATACAAAATGAAAAACAGTGGTTGGGGGGGGGGGGGTTTGTTACAAAATTTTTAAATGACCTTTTTTTTTCTGAAAACAAATGTATTCACTTACAGCGCTGTACAAAAGTACCGTATTTTTCACCCTATAAATTGCAGTTTTTTTGCATAATTTACGTGCCCTGCGACTTGTACGCCAAAGCGACAGATTGATGGATTTTTCCATATTTAAACCAATTTTTGGCTGAGATATGACCGTTTCATTCATTCTGACTGAAAATAGTGAACACTACCATTTTCAACCGCTAGATGGCAGTCGAACAGTTTGGCATGCCATTGTATCATGTAATAGGTAAAAGTGGCTATTAATGACACAATCGGCTTGCCATAATCTGCCACCGTCAGTCTGCCTGGAGCAACTGTCAAATCAGCTTCATTTCACTGCGCTGCTCCGGCGAAATGCAGCTGATTTGACCATTGAAGTGCATTTATGAAGTAAAAGTTCAACTGAGACACACCTTTACTATAAAGTTGAGCAAACAAATAATTGTTTTTAGGTGGTTATCTTGTTAAGTTTCGAAGAAATGCACAGCGAGTCACCCTCTGCATGTTCATGTTTCCACGTATCAGCTTTTGAAAATGCTGCTGATTTGACCGTCGAAGTGCATTTATTTAGGAAAAGGTAGACTGAGACACACCCTTATTATAATTTCGAGCTAACAAATAATTGTTTTTAAGTGTTAATCTTGTTAAATTCTTATTAAAGTCCTCCCGTCCACGCTCCCGTGCCCGCCATTTGGCAGCCAATCAATTTTTGACACAACACCGGCCCACGTTTCCGGGTTGTCAGCGGTGACGTGTAACAAACGCGACGCGTCAGCGTTGATGCATAATAGATGCGATGTATACGGCGAAGCGATGTATTTATGGATTTTTCCACTTTATTAGACATATTTGGACTGATGCGACTCATAGGGTGGTGCAACGTGTATGGTGGAAAATACAGTATTCACCCACTTTCAGATTTCTTCTGTTGTTGCTGTTTTATCTCACTTAAATGTTTCAGATCATCAAAAATAATACCACATAAAGAAAACACTTTTTTAATAAATACAAAGTAAACACAAAGTTTTCAAAGTGCCTATTAGCCAATAATCACCTTGATTATCCCAAAGACTGGGAAAATAGTTTGTGAACTAATGAGTTCAAAGCAGAGCTTTTTTGAAGGTGTGTCCCATTATACTTGGTAACACCTGGTTACACCTAACTCTGCAATTCATCAGCAGTCAAACATGGAGGTGGTAGTATGATGGTCTGGGGCTACTTCAGGACCTGGACGACTTGCCACAAGTGATGGGAGACCATCAGGCCATCGTTTGTGACCTTTAACTCAAGAACACTGAGGTTCTGCAGCAGGACAATGATCCTGATTTCACCAGCAAAATTCCTCCACAGCCACAAAAAAACAGTTATATCAAATGTCTGATTGCAGATGTAGACGCCAAGGGTGGCAGGTTGGTTTGGATAACTTTTTTTAACCAAAAAAATGATATTGTCATTTATAAACGGGTTTATGTATTTACTCAGGAGATGGTTTGGACATGTACAGAGGAGGGACAGTGGTATTGGTAGAAGGATGTTAGAAATGCATCTGCCAGGAAACTTACAAAGAGGAGATATATGGATGCAGTTAGAGAGGACATGGAGGTAGTTGGAGTGAGGACAGAGTGAGATGCAGGAGGATGACTCTTGGCAACCCCTGAAGGACCAGCCTGAAGAAGAAGAAGATCCTTCTGATGTTGACGTTTGTTCAATAATCTGAATTGTGTGTGACCTAAAGCAAAATCAAAAGAAATCTATAAAGAAGGTGAATATTTTTTCACAGCACTTGTAGGCATTGTGAGCAATTGGTCACAATGGTTGGTCATATATTCTTTTTTATTTAAGCACGTTAATCTAATGGATTAATAGCAGGCATGTATTGGCAAACGATCAGCTCCTGCAGCGCAAACGACCAAACAAACAAAACAAAAATCATCCTGGTAATTGCTGTTGATGTTACCAGAGTGTTTTATGCAGTCAGTGTATTCCTGGCAAGCTGATCTAAAAGATGACAGCAGCAGTGGATTGGTAATTCATCAATATGCCTCAGCTGCAGTTCTATTCCAACCACACATCACACTTCATGTTACACTCGTTGGGAAAACGTTTTAAAAGCCGCAGTTTTCCTACGAAAAAAGCTTGTTCATTTACATAGTTATAGGTTCAAAGAAATAAATCTTACAGCTTGCACTGCAGCCAATAGTAACAAGTCCAGTATATTACTGAGTAAGTACTGTAAGTCTGGCATCCAGGGCCGCTACAACTGTCAGAAAACCAAAGTATTTTATACTGGGACACATTCAGACTACAGCACGTTTACTTAGAGAGACATTTTATTTGCATCGCTCGGACCACAGCAGTGTCCAAGAAGTCTATAGGTGTAGTTTGGCTGAAGGGCATCGCAGAGCTGTCAGGAATATCACACATTCCTGAGTAGAAAGTGTTTGACGATGAAGGTATTTTCTGTCTAACCTGTGGAGAGGCCTCAACACACAACTGATTTTTGATCCTGATACACTTGTTTTTTCTACCTCAGTCTGATTTTAGTTTTATCTTTCAATGCTGAGTCTCGATCTCATACTTTCATTTTATACAGCTGCAAACTACACCCTATGTTCATTAAACAACTGTATATTAAACACACCAGATTTTCATATATTCACACCAGTGTGAAATATACAGTTCAGGGCTGGGCGATATGGACCAAAATTAATATCTTGATATTTTTAAGATAAATCACGATATACGATATATCGATTTTTTTCTTTCTTTCCATAAAGTAATAACAAATATATATTTTTGAGTCAGAGCTTTGTCCCAATTGTCACACAGGCACATTTATTAACAAACAGCTGTAAGTGTTTGACGATTGAAGTCTGCTCACAGACTCATGTTCATGTTTGTGCTGATGTTCAATGTTTTATGTTATGAGTGCTTAGTGTATATTTAGTTTATGTTTTTCTTAGTTCATATCTTAGATGTTATTACTGTTTTTCTTATACATTTTATTGTCGGATGTAACTGGGACCCCGTGTACATAATTTCGCTCCACCACATGTACCACATGAGGTGCGAATGACAATAAAGAAACTCTGACTCTGACTCTGACTCTGACTAACTGTACGAAATAAATGTCTAAAAAATAAACTATTTACATATATTAAATAATTAATCCTCTTCAGCTGCGCCGCCTTCACGACATCAGTAAGCGTGTGTGAAGCAGCACGTGAGGGGCTGTGTTTGTATTCAGTGAGGGAGGGGGGGCTGCGTGAAGTTGGCGGCTCAAACGAGAGAAAAGTAACTACACTGATTTTCAAGTCTCATAATACACTATGGTTGTGATAGAGCCATTTTAACCATCGTAAATTGAGTTAGGGCTGGGCGATATGGACCAAAATTAATATCTCAAATATTTTAAGATTAATGGCTATACACGATATATCTAAAAAAGTTAAATCTGGTCCTCTGCACGTTCAAAAAAACAAAACAAAGCAAAACAAAAAAATGTAGAAACGTTTCGTCTCTCATCCAAGAGACTTCCTCAGTCTGAGGTGCTGTATTCAGCTCAGTCTCTTAAATAGCACCTTCTCAGAGTGGATCAACCAGTTTTGCTGCTGACAACCAAAACCAGCTGATCACATGGTCAAGAAGGACCATCAGCCTAACAATGGATCATTATCACACTGTTGGCTGTTTACTATTTACAGAGGGCTGAGTGATACTAGCAATCACAGCATTTGTGCCGGGGGACAAACAGAGCAATGTTGTGTATGCTGTTCAGTGTCAGGAGGGCTGTGATCAGTCTTACATCGGGGAAACAAAACAGCCACTGGCCAAAAGGATGGCCCAGCACAGAAGATCAACATCATCAGGCCAGGACTCTGCGGTCTACACTCATCTCCAGGCCAGCGGTCACTCTGTCAGGGATGAAGATGTTCACATCCTGGACAGAGAGGAATGATGGTTTGAGAGAGGAGTAAAGGAGGCCATCTTTGTGAAAAGAAATCGTCCATCGTTAAACAGGGGTGGAGGCCTCCGGGTTCAACTGTCCCCCTCTTACAATGCTGTGATTGCTAGTATCACTCAGCCCTCTGTGAACAGTAAACAGCCATCAGTGTGATAATGACCCATTGTTAGGCTGATGGTCCTTCTTGAGCATGTGATCAGCTGGTTTTGGTTGTCAGCAGCAAAACTGGTTGATCCACTCTGAGAAGGTGCTATTTAAGAGACTGAGCTGAATACAGCACCTCAGACTGAGGAAGTCTCTTGGATGAGAGACGAAACGTTTCTACATTTTTTTGTTGTTTTGCTTTGTGTTTTTTTTTGTTTTTTTGAATGTCCAGAGGACCAGATTGAACTTTTTTGGATTTTTCTACCTGGATTATTGAGCATGCATCAGGATATATACGATATATGTGTATCAATATTTTTTCTTTCCATAAAGTAATAGCAAAAATATATTTCAGCGTCAAAGCTTAGTCCCAACTGTCACACAGGCACATTTATTAACAAACTGTGTGTATACTGTACAAAATAAATGTCTCAGAAATAATGTTTTTTTTCCTGCAGAACCAAAAAAATTAAACGCAGCTTGTGCACTTAAAATTTAAATAGAAAACATACAGAACAAACATAATGAAAGGCTGTCTTGCTCTTTTAAAAAGTTTGATTTTAATCAAGTATATTCATTCAGCTCGTTATTATTATTATTTATTGTTATTAACTTTTATTAACAAAGCTCTTAGAAAGCCCACATCGTTGTGTAGTTGGCTTGTTGACTGAGCTAGGTTCAGTTTGGTTACAGCTTTTTTCTTTCTGAATTTAATAGCTCCTATGCTCTTGAATGCACCGTGGCTCTTCCGACGCTAGTGAACGCACCGCTCTGTGTAAAGTGCCGTGCTCAGTTGGAGTTTTTTTTCTCTCCTGACACGGACGGAGCCTTGTTGTTCGAGCTTGTTTGTGCTTTACTGCTTTACGGTTGTGTGTAAATACCAGAAGAAACACAGCAAATAAATCGCCCTAAACTGGATATCTGTCTCTGTGTTCTTTAATGGGAAGACTAGTGGTCTGACAACTTCATATCTTGCTGCTGTAACCAGTTAATGTCCTGGAAAACACTAAACCTCTCCTTTTTAGCAGCTACCGTCATTTTCACACCTATCAGGAGTTTACAGTGGGTCAACAAAGATCTATTGTAATGATTGATATCTGCGTATGCATCTAGCTTGTTCACAGTGGAAGCTGCAGCGTGCAGTTGTCACGCAAGCGGTGGAGGAGGGGCCGCGTGAAGGCACAGACTGCGAGAAAAACTGGTGGATTTTCAAGTTTAATTATAACTTTACGTAGAGTATGAGATATATCGATATAGTCTCATTTTATATCGCTTATGAAATTATCTCAATATTTTAAAAAAATTGAGATATCGTCCAGCCCTACATCGAGTATATTCGAAACTTCGCCCAGCCCTAATACAGTGTAGCTCATTCTTAAAATCGTCCTTTTCATTCATCAATTTTTAAATTTTTTTTCGTTTCTCTTATTGCATTATGTTGTGGACACACTGCTAATCTGTTCCTCTTGTGTTTAGCATCTCCTGATTTACATGCTCAGCTTTATGAGATCCCCAAAAAGCTTGTTAGCAGCAAATAAACAAAGCTCTTCTGTTTTGAATTGGAAATCATCTTAAGCATCACGCTTTGATAAAGCTTGACTTATTCAGTACTGATTATTGTGTGGTTGAATTGGTAGCACTGAATGAAGTTTTGTCATTACTTACTCTTGACAGGCTCAAATTGCAGTCGTTACAAGTTAAAATACTTGAACACAGCAAATATGTTGGCACATTCCTGTCACCACTCTTTAGAAAACCCATATTGCAACATAACTGAGGCAAAATAACAGACCAGGAGTTTACTTTCAGTTCTCTGACCCCAGACTCATCTAATCACTAATCAGGTCTCTCTTGTAAGTGAGTCCTCGAGGCTCAATGGGATTTACCTGTGTAAATAAAGGTTGAATGAAGAAGACTCTACACCGATTCAATACTTCAAATCACATCAAGACATTCGTAGTGTTTATACTTCCACATGTTGGAGTTGAGATTCTCTGATTTAAATTCTTAGACTAAAATCCCTTAATACCATTTTGTTTGTACTATTAAGTAATTTATTTGCAGTAGCTTGCATCCAAGGCATTAAAATAAATGACTCTTTGTTAAATAACAACCAGCTGAGTCCCTGAGGGTCCAAACAAGGATTCAGACCACACTTGCTAGAAGAGTGTGCAGATGTAAAACAAGATGGTTATCTGTACAGTGTAATCTTTGTCAGGTATTTCTTCTTAATGCAAACAGATAAAGATTTTTTTTTGTCCACACTAAGTGACATAAGAATATTTTAGCTGAAAGACAAATTTAGCACTATAGCAGGTCTTAATGTTGTGTTAATCCCATCGTATCAGAAAGCTGGTTAAACTTTTAGCCCCTTGTGTCCAATGCTTTATCTTGTGCTCAGATTCTTTCAGTGGTATATCTGCTGCTCGGTGGCTCAGAGGAAGCTATGCCGATCTCACTCTTTCATCATCATTTGACCATTTCTTGTCACAGTTTTTCTGGCTTTGGCAGAGCAACATGACTCCTTCATAGTCAATTCTGTCTACAAAGCCCTAATTGATTTTCCAAACGGGGAAACCTCTCTCGGTGAGCTAAATGCAGACCTGTTTGAAGCACTGAAAGAGTCTGAGGTGGCGGCAGCCATGCAGGAGTCTGCCACAAGGTTGCCTTTTTACCAAAGAATTCAAAACGATATATAATTATCTCATTATTGATTGCATTTTTTTCACACAACAGATGCTTTTTTTTTTGATTAATCAATAAAATATCCTTTGTTTTTCAGATTCCTCACCTACTGCCCCAGTAAGAGGATCTCGGCTGATGATGCTCTGAAGCACGAGTACTTCAGAGAAACACCCCTCCCCATCGACCCCTCCATGTTCCCCACCTGGCCCGCCAAGAGCGAGCAACAGAGGGTGAAGAGAGGCACCAGTCCTCGTCCACCCGAGGGAGGTCTGGGATACAGAAACCTGGTAGGGACATTAAGCTCCTTTTTCTCCATTACGCACAACTACCAGGCGTTCTGTTTGTGTTAAATAGATTACAGACCTACAGGCTTCTGCTTTGTGTCCGAGTATTTCCTTCTTGTGTTTTCCAAGAGGAGCCTTTTAAAGCTCCTAATGTTTTCAGCAGCAGTTCTACTCACCCATAAGTCTATTATTGATATTTGTTGTTCAGCAGTTTCAATATTTTCCACTTTACACACACATTAGACCACGACACAAGAACGATTGGTTTTTGGATCTGTATTCTTGTCAGTGCTGAAGAGGTTATGTAACCTAATAAAACCTCATAAATACTCATTAAAATGAGTGGTAATATTTTATTTGTGCAATGTTGCAGTCATAAATTTGCTGGTGCCATGACATCTCAGTAAAACTACTTAAAAATGACTTTAGTGTGTGATAGGGTAAACAAAAATGTAAATGATTATTTTATTTTACAATGATTGCAAAACTATTATGGATAGATTGGTTTGTATCCTTAAATAGACTATTAATTAGGTCTGAACAATATATTAAAGATTTATTGCATTGCAATATTACTGAGCACAGTATTAATTTTGCTAAAGATTGTTTGGGCTCCAATAAATCATAAGTCACATCTGTTTATGTTTTGCAGGCTGATGATATATTTAGTCAATTCAATGGACTCTTGCTGGCCTTTATGCTAAAGCTTTTTAAATTAAACTGATGACAGAAGATAAAATGTGAAGAGAAAAATGTGGGTTTATTGCAACATTAAACAATAATTTTGCATAACATTTTCTTTTTCTGTTACATTGTTCAGCCATACTGGTAACCCTTGTATTATAGCCATGTTTCAAACTACCGTATGCTCTAAATTATAGCAAAGGTGTGTCTCGGTTGAACTTTTACTTAATAAATGCACTTCAATGGTCGAATCAGCTGTATTTAGCTGGAAACTCAAAGGAGCTGAGTAGGACAAGAAAAGAGCTGGTTGCTGGTATTAAGAGGGCCAAGGCCACATATGCAAAGAGGATCGAGGGTCAATTCATCTCACAAGACCCTCGGAGCATGTGGAGGGGCATTAAGTGCATAACAGATTATAAAGGAAGGAGTGAACAATGTCCCAAAGACCCATCTCTGCCTGATGCCCTCAACAAGTTCTATGCACGCTTTGAAGACCCGAACATACCACCCAGCACCAGACTCACCTCACCACCGGATGAAGAGCATCTCAGCGTGACCTCAGCAGAAGTAAGGAGTACCTTCAGGAGGATTAATCCGCACAAAGCAACTGGCCCAGACAACATCCCCGGAAAAGTGTTGAAGGAATGTGCTGATCAGCTCTGTGAGGTGCTGGCAGACATCTTTAACACCTCACTTACCCTGGAGACAGTTCCCACCTGCCTGAAGACTGCCACCATCATCCCAGTCCCAAAAAGCTCGACAGTGACTGGTCTGAATGACTATCGGCCAGTGGCCCTCACCCCGATAGTCGCTAAATGCTTCGAAAAACTGGTCATGACTCACATCAAAACAACCATCAACATCAACGAGGACCCTCATTAGTATGCATACCGTGAGAACCGATCAACAGAGGATGCAATCTCCTCTGTGGTCCACACTGCACTCAACCACCTGGAGCAGAAAAACTCTTACGTCCGTATGCTCTTTGTGGACTTCACATCCGCCTTCAACACCATGATCCCCCAAACCCTGATGGACAAACTATCCACACTAGGACTAAGCCCCTCCATCTGCAACTGGGTACTAGACTTTTTAACAAACAGACCACAGTTAGTGAGGATCCACAACTTCTCCTCCTCCACCATAACCCTCAGCACTGGCTCTCCTCAGGGATGTGTGTTGAGCCCCCTCCTGTTTACTCTGCTCACATATGATTGTGCAGCTACCCATCCAGGCTGTCACATTGTAAAGTTTGCAGATGATACAGCGGTGGTGGGATGCATCACAAACAATGATGAGTCCAGCTACAGGCAGGAGGTGGAACACCTGGAGAGCTGGTGCAGAGAGAATAACCTTCACATCAATGTGAAGAAGACAAAGGAGATGATTGTGGACTTCAGAAGGAACAAAAACACCTACACCCCCCTGAACATAAGAGGATCTGTGGTGGAAGTGGTCTCCAGCTACAAGTACTTGGGTGTACACATGAATGACAACCTCAGCTGGAGCAACAACACCACCAGCCTGATCAAGAAAGCTCATCAGAGACTCTACTTCCTCAGACGGCTGAGGCGAGCTGGTCTGGGAAGCTCAGTCCTCACCTCCTTCTACAGGTGTGCAGTGGAGAGCATCCTGTGCTCGAGCATCAATGTGTGGCATGGAGGCTGCACAGCTGCAGAAAGAAAAGCTTTGCAGAGAGTGGTGAAGGCTGCACAGAAATCTGTCGGAATCAGCCTCCCCACCATCACAGACATCTACACCTCCAGATGCAGGAAGAGGGCCACCTGCATCATGAAGGACCCCACTCACCCAGCACACACACTTTTTGCCCCACTCCCCTCAGGAAGGAGGTTAAGGAGCATTAAGTGTAGAACCACTAGACTGAGGAACAGCTTCTACCCTGAGGCTGTTAGACTCATGAATCTCTAACTAGAATAATCACTGTGAAAAACCATATCATGTTGCTGCTGATGTGTTTCATGTTGCTGCTGATCTGTTTCATGTTGCTGCTGATCTGTTTCAATGTTGATGTGTTCATGCGTGCACATCTGCTCACAGACTCATGTTCATGTTTGTGGTGATGTTCAATGTTTTATGTTATGAGTGCTTAGTGTATATTTAGTTGATGTTTTTCTTAGTTCATATCTTAGATGTCATCATTGTTTTTCTTATACATTTTATTGTTGGATGTAACTGGGACCTTGTGTACATAATTTCGCTCCATCACATGTACCACATGAGGTGCGAATGACAATAAAGAAACTCTGACTCTGACTCTGATTTCGCTGGAGTGGTGCAGCAAATCGAAGCTGATGACGGTTGCTCCAACAGCGAGCTGAATGAAGGGAGCAGGCTATGGCAAGCCGCTTGTATCAATAATTGCTGGTGAAGATTCTCAGTCATCCAGGATATGGTAAATTCAAAAAGTTCAAGACACAACTAATAAAGTATAAAGTCAAGTTTAATAAATAAAGTCCAGTTGTTTTTGTCTTGAATTTTTTAAAAATTGTTATTAATAGCCACTTTTACCCATTACATGATACAACGGCATGCCATATCATACTACTCGAGTGCCATCTAACGGCTGAAAATGGTAGTGTTCAATTTTTTTCAGTCAGAATGAATGAAAATGGTCATATCTCAGCCAACAATTGGTTTATAAATATGGGGAAAATCCATAAATACGTCGATTTGACCTATAAGTCGCAGGGCATGCAAATTATGCAACAACAAAAAAAGTGACTTATAAAGCAAAATATATAGTAAGTGTTTGACTTTGATGAGTATCACAGTGCTTTCAGGCTTTTCATCAGCCACTCAGCTTATCTAAAGGGAACAAACAGCCATTGAGTAGTTTGTTGGTGGTCTGCGCTCCACACTGAACATGAAGCAGAGAATGTAAAGTCGAGAGCCGTGTGGGAGCTCAGAAAGAAGTTATACATATCCAAGTTAAAGGTAAATTCTACAGGACCATCTACAGGCAGCCTCTTGTTCCTCTGATCACAGCTGCCAATGTTATCACAAAATATACGATTCATGGGGCCAACCTCTGAGGAGGTGGACGCAAGAGGAAATGCATCCCCATGCTGATCAGGCAGATTGTAAATATGGTAGTAAAAGAGCCATGGTAACCATTTAAACATAGATCTAAAGTCAAGGCACGTCACTTTTTGATTGAACCTTTCGTTGCATTTGGAATCATATTTCACAGAAGGCGACCCAGGAGGGCTCCATTAAAAACACGAACCAGACTGTAATTCACCAAAAGGCAAACAAACTCCAAAGTTTCTGGGAGAAAGTTGAGATTGATGAAACAAAACTGGAGTTATTTGACCAGTTATATCAATTAGGTGTTTTTGATTTATCTGCATCTGGATGTACAGTGACGCAGAAAATCCAACAAACTCAGGTCCTCTGGACGGGTTCTTTTTCATTTTTTTATTTTGTTGAAACGTTTTGTCCTTCATCCAAAGGACTTCCTCAGTCCGAGGAGCCACAACAAACTCAGTCCCATTAGTGGCTTACTCACATAGTGGGCCAACCAGATTTACCGTATTTTTCAGACTATAAGTTTCATCTTTTAGCATAAATTAGCAAGTCCTGCGATTTATAATCCAAAGCGACTAATATACATATTTCCCCCCATATTTGTAACCCGATTTTTGACTGAGATCTGACGATTTCATTCATTCTAGCATGGAAAATATTGAACACTACCATTTTCAGCCACTAGAGGGCCCTCAAGTAATATGGCAATCCAAGTTTCTCATTAATAGGTAAAAGGAGCTATTAGTGAGCCACTTTGCTTGCCATATAAAGCCACCTTCGTCTCGCTCCGGAACTCCTGGAGCTTAATTTTGCCGCGCTGTCCAGGCGAAATGCAGATGATTTGACCATTAAAGTGCATTAATTAAGGAAAAGTCAAACTGAGACATATCTTTACTATAATGATGAGCAAATAAATAATTGTTTTTAGGTGGTTATCTTGTTAAATTTCGAAGAAATGCACAGCGAGTCCTCCCTCTTCGTGCTCCAGCAACCGCAAATCGATTTTTGAAATGAAGCTTTCTTTAACCATTAAAGTGCATTTATTAAGGAAAAGTTCAACTGAGACACACCTTTTCTATAATTTCGAGCAAATAAATAATTGTTTTTAAGTGTTAATCTTGTTAAATTCTTGTTAAAGTCCTCCCATGCACGCTCCCATGGCCGCCATTTAGCAGCCAATCGATTCTTGGCACAACACCGGCCTGCGTTTCCAGGCGGTCAGCGGTGACGTATAATAGATGCGACTTATAAGTGGCATATTTATGATTTTTTTTTTTTCACTTTATTAGACATTTTTGAACTGAAGCGACTTATACGGTGGAGCGACTTTTAAAGCGGAAAGTACGGTACTCGCCCTACTCACATAATGTTGGCCCACTATATGAGTCAGCTACTTATAGGACTGAGTTTGTTGTGGCTCCTCGGACTGATGAAGTCCTTTGGATGAAGGACGAAACGTTTCAACAAAAAGAAAGAAACCGTCTAGAGGACCTGTCTTAACTTTGTTGGATTTTTTTACCTGGTTTATTGAGCATGAATTTTCGATGACGCAGAAAATGTCTCATTAATCGAACAGGTTAAGGAGCTTCCTGTAGTAAACTGTGTAATATTCATAAAGTCTAAAAGACAAATATAACAAATCTGAAAAGTAATAAACTTTGTTTTGTTCTTAAATCACCTGCTTGTGTTTGTTTCCTTGACTTTTAGGGCGACGATGACCTGAAAGACACCGGCTTCCACCTGACAACCAGTAACCAGGGAGCGTCTGCAGTCGGACCTGGATTCAGCCTCAAGTTCTGAACCTGAAGCTGCAGGATACTTTGCTGCGTACCAGAGAGGAAGGACGCAAAGATTTCTGGGACTTGTTTGAAGCCAGACATTTTGCAGTTCAAGGCCAGATCAGTATCTGATTGATCAGCTGTTTATCAGACACACGGGACTGTCTTAACAAAAAGACTCATGACTTTTAAATATGTGGAATTTCAACGTCTCTGTTATTCATCAGCAAATTAACCGTTACACAAGATGGTTTTTGCTCCTCAGAAAGAGGCAACCATAACCCTCTTAAGTTTAGCTTTGTTTGACTTTCTTAGATTGGTATTTCCTGGCTACATGTGCTACTGTATAATAAATGCAGCGTTTGCTGTATGTTCCATTCGGCATTATGTTGGAAATTTACCGGGAAACGTCGACGTCAGCTGACAGGTTGGCGATGTTTTTGTAAGAAATAAAGTTTGAAACGTTGTTTTGTCTGCACTTTTTCCTGTTTATAAACTCTGTCAAAGCTGTGCAAACACAACTGCGCGCTGCCAAAACTCAAGTTTAGCCTCAAAGACGTGCATCCTTTAACCCCAGTCCGCACTCGTCGTCCAAAGGTGATGTCATTTCTCGCACCGCATTCTTTGTCTCAGCACCTCTTCCAAAAAGAGAAGCGCCAGAATTAAACCAATAAAATCTCTCGATTGTGTGCCAAAGAAAAATAAACAAACCCAGCTTGGGTCCCTGCAAGACACCGTGCTACTTTCACTGGATCAGGCACAGAGAAATCCTTTCTGCCCTTCTGCTTCTGCAGGCAGCACCAAATGGAAATATTCATTAATCAGTTTTATCTGTCGCCTGCCTCCACCAGGGCCCCTGCTGCAGATTATTACACCTGATGTGTTGAATGAGTTTGGAACGAGAGCTGTGAGTGGAACTGACTGCTCAGTCTCTGGAGGCAGACTGCTGGCCTCCATGTGAGACCAGTAAAGTAAGCTAGACGTCTGAGACGTTCCATGTGCGGTCTCAGGCCCAGATATCTCTTAACTGCCATACTGTAAATATTGCTTACTTTTCTTCAGTGACTGTCGATACGTTAATAAGTCAAAAACTTCTCACCAAGAGGTAACTTTCAAATAACAAAGTCCATGCTCAATAATCCAGGTGTACAATCCAACATTTTTCAGTCAGGTCATCTGGACAGTTTCTTTTTTGTGCTGAAAGGTTTCGCCTTCGATCCAGAAGGCTTCATCAGTCAAGGAAACGCACAACAAAACTGATTCTTCCCCCAACAGCTTACTCCAAAGTGGAACAAACCAGTTATGTTGGTGCTAAGATGGTGTCTTTGGTACGCCCCTCCTCCATTGCCGGCCCTCTTCCTTGTTGACAGTCGTGTCAAACTGGTTGAAAACAACAAAGTCCATGCACAATAATGTGTGTGTCCTTGACTGATGAAGCCTTCTGGATCGAAGGCGAAACGTTTCAGCACAAAAGAAGAAACTGTCCAGATGACCTGACTGAAAAATCTTGGGTAAATTTCAAATGTTTATGCAGACCATTTTTGTGATTTATGTTTTAGTTCACCTGCTGCGTTTGCTTGTAGTGTTAGCAAAATATCAAGTGAACCAGTGGACAGTTTAATACAACTCAATCACTTGATATATCCACAACTGATTAACTTTTGAAGTTGAGCCAATTCAAGATGGACACTACAAGCTAGAAGTTGGTGTGATTAAAAACTTATTCACAGCACATGTATTAAGTGCTTAACAAATCACACAAAATCATAATATTAATACAGTAATTAATGAAATTGTGCATAAAATTTACAGGATTTGATCAAAATTGCTGTAACTGTCCTTTTATCAGCATAAATGACTAAAACTTTGTCATGCAGGCGATAAGTGTTCATTCAAGGAATTCCCAGTCTAAAACTGAATATTAATTTTTGTAGATCCACCTGATTCCCCACTAATGATAAAGTGACCAGGATAAAATGGATCCAACCATGTCTGAAAACCCAAAAGCATTCAACACCAAAGAACTTTTCCAAACTGGAAGTTGGTGCTGGGTCTCATTCGTTTGGATTCAAGTCCTTCAAACAGGTCCAGGTTGAATAAATCTAAATGTTTTTGTCCCAGACGGCTGAAACGACATCTTAGACCACTGGTTCCCAAACTTCAGGTTCTGACCCACAAAAATAACAGCAGCAGAAACTTAGCCCAGCTATGGATGGTTGAAGTGCTGCTAAACAAACAAAAAAAAAAACAATGACAGCTGCAACAGCCTAAACAACAAATAAATTGTGTTTTTTAATGTATATTAAGACTATTATGGGAAAAAAATGCTGTTCTCTCATCTTTAAATTTTATTTTATTTTGAAATCTCAGGACCCCCCTCTTGTTGCATGACACCTGTAGGGTCCCGACCCCAACTTTGGAAACCACTGGCGTAAGCTGCCAAATGACAGATGTTGCACATCGCAACATCTGGCAAAAACAGCTTTCCACAGACGACCAGTTTCCACACTAATACTGAAATTATTAAATGTTTATTATTTATACACAGAAATTTAACTTAACATGTCAGTCACAAGAGTAAGTATTTTATATGAATGATACAAGAAAGAAGTAAAAAAACTTAAATATGTGCCCAGGTGTCCTGTGTTCTGCAGAGGCCTTCAGAAGCGCACACGCACTCTCCACGAGTACTTTGTAAGAACTTTGTCCCTTCTCTTCATGATGCACGTGTACGTGCCTTCGTTGATGGCGTTTGCCACTATGGTGATCCGGTCATCCTTCAAGGAGATGTAGTTTGGGTGAAAGTTCTCCAGCAGCTCCCCGTCTTTATACCACCTGAAACAAGAGTCAAACTTAAGAAGCCATGCTGTCGTGTCACCGGAGCCACCTAAAGTCATGAAACTTCGACTTACTGCACTTTGCCTCTCTTTGATGCGATTTTCTTCCCACAGCTAAAAGTCAGCTTCTTCCCTTCGATAACCAGCTTGTGTTTGGTCCTTAATGGAATTAAAGTTGGCGCCACCGTTGGGAATGGGAATTCTGGATTGAAAGAAAATGCTTTTTAGAAGGTGTGCCAGACTGGACGGACTTTTTGCACACTGGTGAACCTCTGCCCGTCTTTACTTCTAAGAGATTCAGCCTCTCTAAAATGCTCTTGACACCCAGTCCTCTTACTGACCTGTTGCAAACCAACCTAAACTAGAGAAACTGCATTTCCTGCGAAAATACAGAGTGAATGCTCGTTGCTGAAGAACTTGCTGAAAAACAGCTGAAATGACCTGAATTGTAACTGAAATGGAAGAACACACCTGTTAGAAGAAGAAAGCAGAAAGAACATATTTGCTGAATTAGGTTTAAATAAGCAGAAATTGGCACACAAATTTGGAAATTGGCTAAAAACAGCTGAACCAAAAAGATAGCTGAAAAAAGACAGAAAGAAGCTTGAATTACCAGAAGGAAATGGAAGGAGCTGAAATGAGCTAAAACAAATGTGGAATTAGCTGAAAAAGCTAAATTTAGCATAAAACAGCTAAATGGTAGCTGAAATGGCCAAAAAAGCTGAAACTAGCAGAAATAAGCTGAAAGGAGCATAACAAGCTGAAATTAACAGAAAGAAGATTGAAAGTAGCAGAAAGTAACATGAACATCTTGAATTTATCTGAAAACAGCTGACATGAGCTAAAAATGATAAAAAGTAGCTGAAAAGGTATAACAAGCTTAAATTAGCATAAGAACACATTTGCCCAATTAGGCTGAAATATCAAAAATTAGTACAAAAAAGTGGAAATTATCTGACAAAAGCTTAAATTAGCACACACCAAAAAAAAAAAAAAACCTAGCTGAAAAGTAGCTTAAAAAGCAGAAAGAAGGGTAAATTGCCAGAACGAAGTGGAGAGAGTACATTTTTGTGGAATTAGGCTGAGAGAAGTTACAATGAGTGCAAAAAATGTGGAATTAGCTGAAAATGCTAAAATTAGCATAAAAAGCTAAATAGTAGCTATAATAGCAGAAAAAGCTGAAACTTGCAGAAATAATCTGAACGTGGCATAAGCTGAATAGCGCAAAAAGAAGTTAGAAGAAGTGCAAAAATGTAGTTAGCAGAAATAATCTGAAATTGTCATGAACCAGAGGCCGGATCGCAAACAACAACAACAACCACTGAGAGGGTTAAAAGGTTTATTGTAAAATAAAGTAAAACCCTGGAGTAGGTCCGGTTCTGGGCCGGTTCCGATCTTCTGATTGGTAGTTCGTGATTGGGTAGTGTTGAAGTGGCGGGCTGCCAGTAGAAGTAGAACTGATGTTAAGGTCCACTGGAACGGAGTCCAACAGGCTTGCAACTAAAAGATAAAGGTTAGTAGATGCAGGGGGAAAGAGACTAATTGGGGAAATGAATCTGTGGGAATCAGA